AAAAAAAAAAAAAAAAAAAAAGAAAGAAATGGGTCTCTCTGGGCTACATTCAAGGTATCAGCAGGTCAGTGTTCCTCTGGAGGGTCTAAAGGGGAATCTGCTTCCTTACATTATCTAGCTTCATTTTTTTTTTTTTTTTGAGACAGAATCTCACTTTGCCACCCTCAGTAGAGTGCCAGGGTGTCACAGCTCACAGCAACCTCAAACTTTTGGGCTCAAACAATTCTCTTGCCTCAGTCTCCTGAGTAACTGGGACTATAGGCACCTGCCACAACTCCCAGCTATTTTTAGAGTTGGGGTCTTACTCTTGTTCAGGCTGGTCTCAAACCTGTGAGCTTAGGCAATCCGCCCACCTCAGTCTCCCAGAGTTCTAGGATTACAGGCATGAGCCACTGCACCTGGCCTTTTCCAGCTTCTAGAGGCTGCCGTTCCATGCCCACTCGTGACCTCCATCCAGCCAGAAATTGCATCGCTGACCTCTGTTTCTGTCAGCTCAGCTTGACTCTAAGCCTTCCTCTTCCATCTTTTAAGGCTGCTTGTGATTATATTAGGCCCACCCAGATAATCCAGGATAATCCTTAATCTCTAGGTCCTTAATTTAATCACATCTGCAAATGCCTTTAACCATGTAAAGTAACATATTCACAGGCTCCAGGGATTAGGACGTGGACATCTTTGGGGGGCTGCTATTCTGCCTACAACAGGCTCTGAACCTGGGTCCTGGTTCTCAGCCAAGGAGTGAGATGGATACTTTGACTCCAAATTCTGTCCACCCCTGGCAGTAACGGCTTTGTCTCCATTTGTCAGGCTCTGAGACCCACTGTGTTATTGAAGGGATGAGGGCTGAAGAGTTGAAAGATAAGAAAGTGCTTAATAATTTGGGGAGTTGAGGCAGAGAGACAGGTGTTCTAGCCACCCTGCAGTCTCTAGCACATCAGAGAATCCACTTGATGTATAGTCATAGCCACTCTAGCCACCACACATTTCAGTGCACCTCTCTGTTGTCTTGAGAAACATCACAGCTTCTCAGCCCTGGAATCCTTTCCCTATCTAAGCAAAATTTTGTTATCCTTTGGTGTACATGACTGATTGGTTCTAGGGCCTCATGAGGGTGCCAGACTCCCAAGGATGCTCAAGTCCCTTATCAATAATGGTGTAGTATTTGCATATAACCTATTCACATCCCCCCTTACACTTTAAATTATCTACTTATAATACCTAATGCAATTTAAATACTATGTAAATAGTTGTATAGTTTAAGGAATTGTTTAGGGAATAATGACAGGAAAAAGGTCTACAATTTCAGAACAAATGCAACCATTCTTTTTATTTTAAAATGATTTTTCTTTTTTTGGAGACAGAGTCTCATTTGTCACCCTTGGTAGCACAGCTCACAGCAACGTCAAACTCTTGGGCTCAAGCAATTCACTTGTCTCAGCCTCCTGAGTAGCTAGGACTACACACATTTACCACAAGGTCCAGCTATTTTTAGAGATTGGGGGGGGGGTCTCTCTCTTTTGCTCAGGTTGGTCTCGAACCTGTGAGCTCAGGCAATCCACTGCCTTGGCCTCCCAGAGTGCTAGGATTACAGGCGTGAGCCACCGTGAAGGCCTTTAAACTATTTTCAGTCACAGTTGAATCCACAGAAAGGCCAACTGT